ACTCATTTCATAATAGAAAAAGTGAGAAAGAATATTTGTTTTTTTTTTATTCAAGTTCAACAATGATTGATGACATTATATTACAGCAATTCGAAATTGAATAACAAGGTTAAATTAATATCAAAGAACATGAAGTAAAACAAAATTATTTGATAAATATTGAACTCTTCGATTCATAATAAATGTAAATTTTCTATTGAAAATTGATAGATTAATGTTATCGATAAGGTACATCCATAATCCCCATCAATAGATGCAAGAAAAAAAAATGTTCTACCAGCTTATATGGGTATATTCTCATTCGAAATCAAAATAGCTATGAATACTATCCTAAATTGCCGTTGTCATCTATGCATTTCGTTTATGAAAATAAAAATCTATTAGCGTATTGAATGCGGAATTAAAATGCGAAGTACGATGATGAAAGATGATAATCGTAAAACCTAATAGTCATTGGGAAAGATAGACAAAAGACAGCTATTTTATTTTAAATTTAATTCTGTTTCATACTAATCTTGCAAGCATGTTTGTTATTGTCCATGAGAATGAAGCGACAATACTAAAGTATTTGCCACATCTGTAGAAGGCGAGAAGAGCAGTGTTACATATAGATTTTCTCTTCGGAAGGAACGATTTAAAACTCCGGGAGAACCAACCCGGTTTTCGGAGTGATGCGACTCCTTCGACTGCTATGTTGAATAAAAAATTGAGAGATGGACTAAAATCTCATCCATATACTTCAAAACTTCTTGTAAATAGTGTTTTGCAAAAGGAGTAGATTAAGAAGAAATAAATTAAGTTACTTGCCGACGAAGTATGACAAGTAAGTGATTTTATATGTATAACATCAGTCTCATTCTCTTTCATTTTTAGAGCGAATATTTATTATTGCTCACATTAAATTTTAGTTTCTTTATTATGAAAACAATCAAAAACACAGTTCTGATATTCTAATGATATTAAAAAGGAATGTAATTATTGATAAAAACACGTGTAAGACAGCAATTGAACTAGTAGATGTTTCACTTCTCTGCAATAGTTAAAGAATTACATCTGGATGATCAGTTATAAAACCATCCACTTGTACTGTATGCCAAAAATATTTCACAAGTTCTTCAAAACTATTACTAGAAAATAGATCTTGTCGAAATGTAAATGGATAAACACTAAAATTATATTGATGAGCCCATTTTGTTAGATTAGTAGTACCAATGATTGCACCATTTGGATCATAATTAACAACTAATTGATGATTAGGTGCTAAACCTTGAATAATTTTTGATAGATTTCGTATACCTTCTTCACTTCGATAAAAATTATAATCACTTGATGATTCTTGAATGTAATTCCATGTCATTAAAGCAAGTAAACGCAATTGACTGCCAAGATTTTTACGAATATACATCAGTTCTTCAATATAAAATGTTTGAACAATAATTGGATCACTTGATCGTGTTAAATTATAAGCATTTAATGTAGCAAGTACAATAGATGATATTGATTTATTATATTTTGAATGATATTCAGGTTTTTTTATTTCAATAAGTAATTGACGTTGTCGACCTGTTGCACGATTAAGACCAAATAATAATTCAATTGTTTCATTAAGTGTTGAAAGATAAAAACGTACTTTAGATTTTGAAGGAAAACGCAATGGACAAACTTGTGTACCATTCAATGGTTGAACTCGTTCACGAATATTTTAACGACGCAATTCATAAAGATTAAAATCAATAACATAATTAAGAACATCTGAACGATTTCGATTGGGAAAAATATCACTAACATTAGTTACTCCATCTAGATAGATATCTAGGAAAAAAACAAAAAAATTAAAAATAATAATTATATTAAAATGAACATTATAGTTATACCATGAATGACAATTAATTGATTATCTCGACTAAGACATACATCAATTTCGATAATATCAGCACCATAAGCATGAGCCATCGATTGAGAAGCTAATGTAAGTTCAGGTAAATATGCTGTACCACGATGTGCAATAACAATTGGACGTTGTAAACATTGACAAATTTCAAATATATAGAGAAATAATAGGAAGCTTAATATGATTAATATGTAACATACTATGAAGTGTTGTATTGAATATATTGTCGTATTTATGTATAGAAATACATATCTTGATACTATTTATGATCAAATAGTGAAGAACAAATATTTACAGTATATATTAAAAACTTCTTGAAAACAATATAGTTTTTTCTTTTCTACAGATTATCTTTTTGTCATAATAACAAAACGATATCAACAGATTTACATAAAATCGTTAAAAACATCTTTCAACTAATTTTTATTTATCTTTCTTTTTCTTTTTCTTTAGAACTATGATTACAATTAATAGATTTGTAATAACAAAACACTACGAAAATTACTAAGATTTTATAGGTGTATTACATTGTTGATTCTTCACACCTATGTATGTATCCAATTACTTTATTAACATGATCATAAATAGTACATCGACTTTAAATTGATCTATAAAATATTCAAGTACAGCATAAAATAAAGCAAAGAATTGTAGATTAATATCTTTATGATATATATATATATATATATATATTTTTTCGAGCATGTAGGTATCTATTTTCTATTTCTTTGTTCATAGTTTCTTAGACTAACGGGTGGTACACAATTTATGAGCCATAAAAAATGGAACACTTTCATTTCTTTTTTTTCTCGAGCAATACAGACAGAATTGTGAGACTTCGCTTTTTATACCATTCGATAAAGAATTTTTCATTCTACAAAACTATCCTTGCTGTTTTTCAAATCAGCTCTTCGTCATCGAAAAATTCAAACAATTGAAAACTACTCAATCATACAACTGCAATGGACAAAAAAATGATAGAATTTCTCAAATAGCAGTTCTGTCAATATTTCAAATATGTACACTAGAAGGTGCTCTACAATATGTCTGTAGAAAATAGAAAATCGCCATTGGATGACTGAATAGATATTAATTTTTTTTTGCATTTTTATCCGACAAAAAAACACTTACTTAAAAAACACAATATGCAGTTTTATAGAGCAGTAAATTTTCTTTCAAACGGCATAAAAAGAAAGCCTTTCAATTATGTCTGCGCTGCTCACTTCGATCTTGACTATCGATTAATAAAAATTGAATTCATTGTATATTTTTCAATGTCAAAACATAGTAAAAAATACGTAAGCAGAATAGTTTTTCTTACTAAATTATGATAAGACATCAAGAACAATTTTTTTAATGAAATGTATGAACTTTAATTTCGACATGAAGAACTATTAATACATAGGTCAAAAGTTTAGAGGTAAAATGTTCGTTTATTTGTGGTTTTCTTGAAGGTGTTTTCAATGAGTCCAGAGCTATGGTTTAGGAGCAGAATTTTGTCTAAGCTTTTTTTTGAGACTTGTGAGGAACTTTTCTGAAACCCAAAAACACTAATTTGAACCGAAAGTGTGGGCCGAAGTTCTTGATGCAAATACATGCTTATTTTGGCTTGCTTGAAAGTGCCTCAGACAAGCCAAAAACTAATGGGTGATGATAAGAACTTTGTGTTCTATTGGAATATGAGACTAGAAATATTCTGTCTAAGAGTAATAAAGAAATTTTTGAAAGATCTTAAAAAAACACACTGAATGATAACCTATAAGTTCCTTTTCGAGAGTGCTAAAAGTTATTGGTGTCGATCGTATTGTAATCATCATCTATCTAACTTATTCAACGAGTCGTATATTATATTATTTTCAGATGTTTTATGTAATTGATGAACAATAATCAATTTTTATCATTCTATTTGGTGTTGTAATCAAGTTGATAAAAACTTTTTTTCGTAATATGTATTTGAGAAAAATTTTCAATAAGTTGTTTGAATAGATTGATTGTACATTAGTAACCAGTGCTACTCGGCCAACTGTTACTGGAATCAATAATTGGTTCACACTATTCTGTAGACTTGTATCTACAATCGTTGCTACTTTTGATGTGCTACAAATAAATTAAGAATGTACATTATACAAGTATCATTAAGACATTACTTCATCTCATTGATTTAGGCTTTTATCTGCTAAAGAATACTTTTTGTTTGTTTTCTATCTTTTTTCTGAACAGTAAAAAAGAGAGATATGAGTGTTATCTCAGAGTATGGTTATTTTCGTAATCAGATAAAATTAATGATTTATAATAATAGCAATTGTATGTATCTTATCAATGGTTATATATTCGTTTTTTTTTCTAGTTAATCAACAATCAACATTCTTCTAACAAAAGAAAATATTTTTAAAATTATTCAGTATAATTTAACAGGAAAATCGATTATTAACTTCATTTATTCTTTGTAACCAAAACAAAGAAACTAGAAGAGAAGTATTTTCCTTTTATTTTAAAAATGTCTATTATCTAGGGTCACATATATATGCACGAATGATCAAATCAACGCCGACTAGAAATACATTAACGCACTTAGAATGAAACTTATTTTCAATAGCTAATATTAGAAGCATGTGAAGTACATCAGTGATGTCGATTGTTTATGATATTAAATTCTTTTGATCAACTAAAGTTAAGAAGTTGGCTTTTAGCGACATCTTATGTTTCCATTAGTCTTAAGAAAAATTTGTTGTAATTTTGTTAAAACGTCCTTATAGTCTAATGTCATTCTTTGCATGAAACTCATTTTTCCTAAAAAAAATATATTATATAGACGAATATACCTTCTGACTCTCAATGCATTTCTATCACAATTTCTTTCTTTATCTAATGTTTTCGTCAAATTGAGATGTCGTACCACTGAGTGCATTCGATATAGTGATTCGTATTTCTTGCCACACTTTATATCATCCAATCACATGCTATATTTCTTTTATTGTTTGGCATCATTATTGATATATCTACGTCGTTATTATTTCGATATTTAAGTCATATGATAAATTTGTTTCTCTTTTTCTGAAATTAGATAAAAATAACACTTGATATTTATTAAATTTTTCTTCACATCATGTTAAAACTTTTTATATTCACAATTTTCTTATTTTCATCACCAATATTTGGTTTATTAGAAACTTTATTTCAAGCACAAATTAATTGTTATTCAAGATGTCATTCAAATTATGATACTAGCTTATCTAATTTGGATGCTTGCAAAAAAGGTTTGCTTATTTAATAAATAAATAAAAAATGATAGACGCAAAAGACAAAAAAAAACATCGTTTTTTTTTTAAGGTTGTGATTATAAGTTACATAATGAAGATTGTACTGTTCGTTGTAAATTACTGCCAACAGATGAACAAATTCAAGCTAGTTGTCTTGCTGGTTGTTCATCAAATCATTCACCGGTAAAAAAAAACAAAATGAAAAGTTTAATATATGAAATTGATAATTGAAAATTTTATTCTAGGAAATAAAAGAATCAATTGAAAATGAACGTCCACGATCGATAATTCTTATTCGTCTTCGTCAACGTCCATTATCTGAACATTCACCATTTAACATTGATCGCATACGGATGTTTATTAATAAGATAAGAAAATTCAACGAAAATAGAAATATAATTAAACAATCAAATGAAATTCAAACTGATTCATTAAATGATGAAAATACATATAAAATTACACGTTTTATTATACATCAAAAAGATAATATTGAATCAAGAAATAATCGTTTTAAACAATTTCTTAATGATATTCATAGTGAGTGGAATGATCTTATTCATAAACAACCAAAAATTTCTATATGGATTTGTTTTGTTTTTTTACTTTTGTCATCAATTATTCTTTGGCGTAAGTCTTTTTATTTATTCTTTGAAATATCTGCATTAATATTTGCTTTGATTCATATAGATATGATTGTATCACTTTGTCATCATACACCTAGACATCATACTTTATCAACTCATGCACAAGAACTTGCTGTTGATAATATATACGAAAAAGAAAAACTCTAATCAAATGAACAATAATATCAATATACAAAATCATTATCAATTAAAATTAAATTGACGAATATTTAAAAGAGAAGATACTTTTCTAATCTATGACATGAAAGTTTCGACAGAAAATATTTACTCATTTTTCGGCTATTTAAAGATAACTGATTAGAGTTAGAATCAGATTTTTTCGCTGCTCCCGGATATGTCTTCTTTCCATAGAAACTAGTTCTTTAGTGAAAACGTGTGGATTTTACTAATTGTAATATTTCATGGTTTACAGAATTGAGTAACGTTAATTTGAAGTTGTTCCAAGACATAAACTAAGGACGATGTTAAAACTGCTATTTTGTTTCTTGGACTTTTTCACAAAATTTACTGATAGTTATTCAATTTAACTCGAGAAGAAAAATCTGAACATATATTCTAAAATAGTGCAAAAATTCTAATTCTAACTCTAATCCGTTATCTTTTAGTGGCCGCAAGATGAGCGAAAGTTTTATGTCAAAATGATTCGTGTCATAGATTATTTAATGTATATAGATATTTATTTAACATTTATTTCTTCATACAAAATCTAGCCTATCTCATGTAGCTAGATTCTAATGCGCCTTTTTTTTCTCTGTTTTGCTTGAGTTAATGTAAACTTTGTATGCATTATTGGTTATATTGTTTCATCTCTCTTATTATTCTCATAATAAAAATTTGTAAAGCAAAAAACTTTCGTTGAAATGATTGTTAATATTTGAACTAGATGAACTGTCTAATTAAAAGAGATAGAAGTTTTCATTTGATGATATTTTATATTTTAAGATGAATTGTTGAGCAATGAATAATAGTTAAAACGAAAATTTTTGTAGAATAGTCAATACTTATAGTGAGAAATGTATTATGAGAAAGCTACACTTTGACGGCTTTTTTTGAAATTAATCAGACATGTACTAAAAGAACTGAATGATACCAATGAATCGGTCTTCACTATGAGTGTACAATTCTGGTTCCGACTATGAATTCAGCTCCACATTTATGTTTTTTTTGTTCTGGTCCTATTCTTCAATGTTTTGATCTCGTTTACAAGTCATGGCAAATATCACGTTGTACTAGACACTCTAACTTATCCAACAAGTAGTAGAAAAATTAAGTTAAACCATTTTAGGAAGTTGCTGTTCAGTAGTGCCCGATTGACTAGAAGTACGCTTCTACAGCAACCGAAGACAAACGAGCACCACAATGGTCTTCCATAATTTCCTAACAACGGAAAAAGATGCTGAATGGCATTAACAACACGGTTTAGACAATTCTAGAACATTTGAAAGTCTTCCTTGAAATTGAAATAGCTGAAATATGTTTTTCAGTGTTCTAAATAACATATTTACTGATTTTTTCGCAGATAAAAATTTATATGATAGATATCAAAGATGATGAGTAGCCCTATTTTGATTTGCCACAGTTGTCATATGACCAACACCAAAGGTTAAGACCTTCTGTCAATATATACGAATGTGTACAATAGACTTATTTGTTAGTTAAATCAATGAGTTAGAATAAGATAAATAAAAAATAGAGCACAAGTTAAAACTAAAAGAAAAAAAAACAATTCTGTTCGAAATGCAGAAATAAATAATACGTATCGTTTGTCCGACGATATATTATTGTTGAAAAGAACCTATCATCTTTTAGAGATTTGTCACTAAACTTATATGGAACTGGCAAAAAAAGACATGTGAGTTCTACGTTTTAATTTCAGAAGAACTGCACTAATAAACTATTGTTAGGTATTCTTTATCAATATACTTATCATCGAACCATTTCATAAGATAAAAAAAAAACAAAAATGTTTTTGATAACATTATTCTTTGTGATGTATGTTTCAAAGTCGTCTAACAACATTTTCTATTTTTTTTTTGAATTATTTTATTATTCAATTGTATTTATCACAGATTCTAATACTTGATATTAATAGTTCTAATAAATTTTCTATTGGTTCATTATTGTCGATTTATTGACAGCAGATAATTATGTTCATGTAATAAGATTGTAAAAAAAGAAGAAAATTAATAAATCACAAAAATAAATGTCAAATATCAAAAATAGTAGTAATGTATTGATAAAAATCAAGTTTTTGCTTCATTGTCAACTACAAATAAAAATGAAAATCAAGAAATATATTTGTCAATTTACATTTACATAAGCAAAATGAATAGATCATGCATTTTCAAATATTTTTGATTTATGGAATAGTTTATAAAAAATAGTATGAGCAAGCAATTATGAACAATATACTTACACAAGAGGTTTTGTTTTTGCTTTTCTAAGTTTTTGATTCTTCCATTCGAAAAGTGTTTGATATATTCATTGCTAAAAGAAAAACAAAAATAAAAATAAAAATATTCTTATTGATTTGAAAACCCTATATAATAGATTTACATTCTATAGTAGCTTCGGCTTCACGACGATCTCGAACAATAAAAAGAGCCGCTACTAGAAAAACAATACCACCGAAAGAAGCAACAGCTGGTGTTAATAATAAAGCATATCGTAAGGATTTCCATATAATTTCGTTTTGTTTTGATCCTTTTCGAAAGAAATCACTTACGAGACCGATGATATATGGACTAGATGCATCACCCTATCATATAAAACAAAATTAATCTATAATAAACTTTGTTTTTTTTTTTTGTATTTGAAAACACACAAATAAATGTAAAATAAATATTTGAATAGAACTTGCTGTAGCACGTCTGGGTGGAATGATAATATACTATAAAAAATAAAAAAGAATCAATTATAAATGAAAATGAAAATCTTTTAAGATTTAACCATAAGCATATCTGATATTATTGCCCAATTACTAGAAAGTAATGTTTCAGTCACAGCAATGCAAATCCATGTTACAATTATATTATCTTTAGAAAAGATAATTGAAGCAGCTAGAAATGGTATGGCTAAAAGAACAGCAACACCACAAACAATTGGATCACCACGTGGATTTCTTTTACGATACCTAAAATATAAACATTTTTCTATGTTTATATACTTTAATAAATAAATATTATGTTATGAAATTAACATTCAATTTTCATTTAAATAGAAATATTGTAATTTATAAACGAAATTTTTTCTAAAAAGGTTTTAATTCTAACATCAAATGAATTCAAAATTAGAATAAAAAATCTAACGAAGGAAGTTTTCTTATTGATAAGTCGCTTTTAAGTCGAAATTACGTGCATGATGTAGAATTAAATGACTTATGAATACCCTGAAAACAGTTCAGACCCTTAGTTTATTATTACTGAGATACGGCATTCTCACGGTAGTCTTTAAATGAATGCCATAGTCCTCTTCAGAAACACCAGGAAAACTGATTTTAGTGTAAATACTAAACAGTGAGTCACCAACATAGTGTCCACTGATTACACTGGCTTTCGTGTTTACTGTAACTTTGAGATAGCAACTCTATCAAAATATATCCTTGTTGTAGCAATGTGTTTCAGTGTCCACTGTACATCCCCATTCGATGCTCTTATTTCAGAAACGAAGCCAATCTAAAGAGCTTGCAATAGACTATTCTCACTAAGACCTATCTTTATATAAAGTTTCAAGCTGAAATTCAAGAGTTAGCTTTCTTGGTGTTCCTAAGGAGGGCTCAGACATTCATTTAAAAGCTATCATAAATTTGCTGTGTATACGTAGCAATAAGCTAAAAGTCAGAACTCTCTGTAGAATATTTACAAATTATTTGTGTCTACATGATGTACATAGTTCCGACTCAAAAGCGATTAAGCACTTGAGAAACTTCCTTCGTAAGATATAGATTCTTTTAAAATTTAACGTTTAGTTCTCCGTACGCAATTTAAAACAGTGTTTGCCAGCATCGACATGTTAAATGTCAAGAAAACTAATAAAATTCTTCATAGGTATCATTTTAAAATCACAATTAAACATACCATCTAGCTATTTCACTTCCAAGTAGAACACCAAGAAGTCCAGCACCACAAGTTACTATACCAAAATAAAGACTAACACTGATAAAATAAAAGCATAAATAACATTTTATTATTATGAATTTTATGTTACTTGGCTTTAACTTGTTCACTTTCAGTTTTATAATGCAAAATATAAGCTAATTGAAGAAATCTTGGTGCCCACCAAGCAAGTGAACCTAATGCAAATGCTACCCATGTAAATCCAAGGGTTGTTAAAATAAAACTTTTTCTAAATAACAAAAAAAAAAGAAATTTAGATAATTTAATAATCAAACTAATTTTCAACAAACACTCTAAAGATTTTTTGAACATCAGAAAACCAATTATCTCTTTTTAAAACTTGAGCTCCATCAATACTGCCTCGTACTGGTTCTCTAACAAGAACAAGAAGTAATATAACACAAATGAAACCAAGAGCAGGTGTAATCTACATATACATAACCACATAACAATCAACACAAAACAAAATAATAATAATAATAATAATAAATAAATCTTTACTCGTAGAGCCCAACGCCACTCGCCATGAAATGCAACTGCAACATATGCACCAACAATATAACCAAGACCACTATATTAATTTTTTTGTTAAATAGATTTTCAAATGAAAACAATAATTTTGTTTTTTTTACCCTCCTACTGGTGTAGCAATATTGAAAAGAGCTAACATTCTTGTTCTCATATCATGTTTATACATATCAGCAATAATTGTTGGTGCAACACATGAATATGAAGCTTCACCAATACCGACTAAACCACGTAATATTGCAAAAACTGCAAACAACTAATAACGAACAATATATGTTAGTGAAAAAAATTTATATATATATACATATATGATGGGTGTATCATAATGAAGGGCTAGTCTTTGCATTCCCTTTCTCTGACTTTCTGAAATGTTTTATTCAAAAATAAAATGTATAACACAATAGACTAGAGCACGAACTCTACGTTTTAAAATAAAACAAAGGTGTTTTATGATTGTGCATTTGTTTTCAATGCATATAGACGATATATTTCTGTTTCATGTGTTTGAATGGAAATGTATCGTCTATATATAGATCGGAAACTAGTCGATTTCGTACGATCGAAAAACGTTCGACTCAAGAATTGTCTATTCTACAAACAAAGATATACAAATGAAATAACTTTGTTTTATTTTCAAATGTAGAGTTCGAGCTCCATTCAATTGTGTTATGCATTTGTTATTGAATAAAACATTTCAGAAACTCAGAGAAATCGAATGCAAACTTTGGCCTTCATTATGACCCATCCGTTGTATATATATATATATATATGTAAGTGAAAATTACATGACTTGGCACAAATGATCCGGCTAAAGTAGTCATGGACCAAATACTAACACCAATAATAATTAACATTTTTCGACTATATCGATCTCTGTAAATAGAGAAAATTTTTATAATGATTTTATTTTTATATTTTCTTCGATTTACCCTAAATAACCAAAGAGAGGTGCTAGTGCCATATAACTACAAACGAATACTGTTTGAAGAAGACCACCTTGTGATTCCGAAATAGAAAAATCTTTTATAATTTTCTCTAGTACACCTATATATAAATGATAAGTTTGATAAAATATTTTCATTTTATTTTTATGAATACCTGCAATAATAAATCGATCCATAAAATTTAACAAATTAATAAATAATAGGACAGCCATTGTAATAACATTTTTGTATTTTTCTCTTCGAGATAATATACCTGATAGACTTAACTAAAAATTAATAAAAAATAAAAATATTAAAATAAAAATTTAATTAAAATTCAACATACACTAGGCTCAAGATCAGGTTCAATTACTGGTAATAAATCAGAAACATCAACAGACATATTCAACAAAATCTAGTGATAAGAATACTAAATTTATCTAAGTCACTTATGACATTCTATTTTTGACTTACGTAGTCAACAAGATACTCATTCGTCGTCTTTTTATTTATCTATTCATAAATGCTTTTTAATATATCACAAATCAACAACAGGAATAGATAGACCTTTTTAAAAGTGTCAACTAGTGGCATCTTGGTTTATAAATGAAAACCACTTTCCTTTTAACATTTACTTGATAGTTCTCTCATCATCAGACATGTTTAAGTAGATCATTGATTTATGTGTTATTTTTTTGACATAGTTCTATACAAATACGAAACATTGGAAATTATACAATGAAAAAAATATTATTCAATAAAATTCAAACATTACCGAATGATCTCGTGATGAAATATTCATATCAATGGGAATAATCATAATTATTTTAAAAAGTTTTTTATCAATCTGATACAATCAGATATGTTAAATTCTCATTTTACATTTCATAAACAATATTTTTGTGATTAAATTATCAAAGAATTTTTTTTATAAAAGTAAAGAATCCACAGAATGTGATTAAGATCTACTCATTTAGTGGCAATCAAGATTTAACATAAGTCCAATATGACAATGTTTCGATTAATTATTCTGCTATTTGCAATAATATATGATCAGAGAAAAAAATACTATTCTATTCTATTGAGCTTTCTAACGAGGAAATCGTTTTTTAAATACGAACTTTGTGCATATAAGATAAATTCCAGTAAGATATGAAAAACTCCAAAACGGTCAATGTCTCTAAGTCTTACCTCCTGAGTTATAACCATTTAAGCCTATAAGACGGTAAACACCAAACAATCGAATGATAATAATTCAAACTAAAATTTTGCCTATAGAGAGACCTTGTGAGAGTATATTTTTATAACATATACTCCGATCCTCTCTATTTTCTTTTCTTTAATCATACTTTGTTCGTCTGATATTTTCGATATCATTATTTCGTTTCTATTACTTCTTTTCTTTAACCTTGACTAGACGTTGTGTTTTTTTCTACTTTTTTGTCCTTGTTGTCATAGTCGCATATAAACACTCATTTTTCAAAAAAATAAAAACAGAGAGAGAAGAAAACACACACGTCTTTAATCGTGTTCGTCGCTCCTTGTGAGCGTGAAGGCTAACAGACTTACTAGTAAATAATTAGAATGTTTTGAAATTTAGAGCTCAAAATAAAGTTTCCTCTACGAGATATTGAATTACCCAGAATTATTTATATTTTATGAAAGATAACAGAATCTTATGTTTTTTTTTGAAATTCAATATTTCGTGAACAAAACATTCTTTTAACTTGAAAATTCCAGAACATTCTATTTACAAGTAGACCTATCTTGTTGTTTTCGGAGTCATTGTGAAACACGCTTCAGGTAGCCAATATTGTAGCGCTTTACCGAAGCCATCCAATACTACGCCGAAGTGAAGGAATAGATTTTGTCGGATGTAGAAGATCGAAATGCCATCATTCGATATCTTGGTTGTATACAGTCTGATAGACTCATATGGCTATAACTCTGGAGGAAAGATCTAAGGAGACTTATCCTTTTTGAATTTACTTTATGCATATAGAGTCCGAACAAAAAAAAATGATTTATCACTTGGAACGATATCTTCGTAAGGTCAATTGAAAAGAATTACAACAATGATGTTTTGATGAAACATTGAATATTATGAAGATAATTAAATTTAAATAAGCATATAAAATTAAAAGTCTATTGATATCAATAGTATATGTTTGTAGTTGAGTTGAGATGTGTGCAAATATTTCGAAGTAATAGAAAACTTGCTAGTACATCGACATCATCATGGATATAATAGGCAAGCTTAACAATGTGATGAGAAACTAGTTAATTTTATCAGATTTTTATGCCTTCTCAGTCAGTTAAATTTTTGTTGATTATATATTACAACAGTTTCTTATAAATATGCATTATTTTGTTTATACATAGAATTGAATATAGGTAATAATAATGACTAAAGATTATTGTTAGTTTTTTTTTTCTGAGTGCAATGTGGAACACAAGTGGAAACAGACCATCTAGTCTTTTTGCTTGACACAAACACAGATTCTGATTTTTCAAATCTGTCATAAACGAGACAGACCGGCTGCCTGAAATGTTTTTTTAAATTTTCAAGAAAATTTTATCATTTTGACTAGTAAAGTTACAAGTAGGACGAAAATTATACTTATTTAAACCTCTAATATGAAGCATTCACCTAGTTACACATTCATTATCAATAGTATTTTTCATTTTCATTGAACTTCCATCAATACTCAATACAGCTCGACTTTATTGTTTTATATTCTATTACAAAAAAAAAAAAGGAAAAGAAAAAATAACTAAAGAGCACTATGGAGTCAATTTGTCAATGACTATAGTATCATTCTTATTTTAAATGATATTTGAGATACGATTATTTAGCATAAAATCAGTATCAACAATCAACAGGATTTTACCTAGTGTGGAGGCTTACGACAGCATCCACTCGTACAGAATCTACCGGTGTATGCTAACATGTGTTGAGAAAAATGTGTTGAATTTGAAGAAATTTTTAAAAATTATTGGCTGTTGGAAAAATTTTTTATTTGAACATTCGAACAAAGAACTATTTCTCTTGTAGCAATAAGACTATTAGCTTTGTGCATAGTTTCTTCTCGTATTTCACTGTGCAATCCATTACTCTGTGGCAAGGAAACTGCTTCTGTTAATTGCTAATTAATAAAGATTAGTTTTTTATATGACCTTTTTGTATGTTAAAACGATTTCTCTTTCGCTTTCTTCGAATAATGTTCGAATGAAAAAGACAATTCGTCTTTTACTTTATTTTGATAGTAGAGAAAATGTTTTCAAGAATTCACGTCCGTTTTGGAAAACTTTTCGTTCTAGCAGCAGATATCGCATTGTTGACGGCGTTCTTTCAAAGATTAGATTGACTATCCTGGAGTTTGTCATTATTGCACTTCACATTCTATTCCCTAGACTGTAAGGATGGAATCGAGAAACGAAAATTCACCTGTGTCTGTCTATAACATACTTATCGTATGGTCACTATGGCACCAATGACTATGTAGAATGATAAACAAGGGCACCTACGCATTAGAATTCAAATAAAACGATGAGTAGTTTCCCGAGGCGAAGAATGCGAAATCTATATACACTCGGTATTTCATCATATACGACCGTATTTTGGTGTATTACATAGTTCAGTATTACGATCATATACGAAGACCGTAAATAACTCTTACATTTTATTCAGTATGTCGCCGTAGACAGTCATATATCTTCCTATCACATACGAAGAAATACGATCGTAATACTCAGGCATGTAATACATCTTTATACGATGATTAATGGTCGATTATGAGCATGCTTATTCAATCTTGTACACTTTTAGAAGGGACGAGCATTGTTCTTAAATGATTGAACAGTTCGATCAATTGTTCAATACTGTATACATGACGATGTGATATAATAATTATTAAGAGTGAAAGAATGAATCTGTACATAAGATAATGATTAACTAACATCACTTTTTATTTAATTTTTTTTTGCAATAGAAATAGCGTTAATGTAACTAAGAAAAAATTGACAGAATTTCTATCAAAAAACTAATAACATTGCACATATAAACTGAACTTCGTTGCACTAATATAGCATATTCGAAATTGTTTTTCTTTATAAACATAAAAATCAAGTTTTATATTACGAAAAATTTTTTTTTTCGTCAAAAGAATTGCTTTTATATTTCAAGTCATCTCATTTATGTATCCAGTACTTAACGTACGCCTATATTTCAATGCATTCATATGCATATCTCTATTCTGTTAATCTAGGGTCAAGTGAATCGAATCTCGATGAATATTAATTATATGTCTATGCTCTCAAAAATAGTTGTTTATTCTCTCTCTCTCTCTCTCAAAGCATTAAATCAGTATAAAATACTGATAAACAGACAAAATTATAATAACCTTAAAAGCTATTAAAAAAATATTATATTTCTTCTACATTCCAAACGTATTACAGTTATGCATGAAAGTAAATTATACAATTATTTATTTATTCTATAGCACAAATGAATAATATGCGTAGACAAGGCTAATATAACAAGGCACTTGTTTAGCAAAATCAAAATCAAGAGCTAATAAGATAAAAAAAAAAAAGAAAAGAAACAATGATTATATAAACACACAAATATTATATAAAATTAAAGTAAGACAACGGACAAATACATCTGACAAAATGAATATCTAAATTATTCGTTGAGAATATTTCCATTCACAAGATCATGATTAAATATAAAGATTCATTAAAAAAAAACCAATTAAAAGAGACAATATTCTACCCAATATATAATTATACAAACGAAAAATTTTTATTATTGATTTAATTTTGATATTTCAAGTTCTTCTCGTATTGCTTCTTCATAATCATGTAATTTTCGACCATCTCTTATATGAGCATAATTAGCCGCAAGACAACAAAGAAAATGAATCTAAAAGCAAATAATTAAGAATTGATTTCTATGAAACAAGAAAAAAACATCTTACCAAACCCATAACAACAAAAAATGAACCAACTAAACCTGCCCAAAATTTCAATGTATGAGTCGTCTAGATTTAAATGAAAAAAAAAAAGAAAAGAACAAATTATCTATAAAATATCTTGTCTATTATTTCATACCAATGCACATAATTCATTAAATTTGTGTTGACAAACTTTTACATCAGGTTTATGTTTAGGTACAGGAATTCCATAAGTTCCTGGTGTTAAACAAGCTACTGGTGATGCTGTATTTGGCCAGCCAGATGCTGTTTGTACTATCCAAGTTTCAGTACAACGATGTTCTAATATATATAAACCAATACATGGTATCATCATACTTATCATTATAATTAACCAAATAAGTAACATAATATAGACAACAAATGTAAACTAAGAAAAAAAAATGATTATATAAATATTAGTATTTTTTTTTTATGTTTTAAGAATTACAAATCCTGTTGCAATGCGACCGCCAAGTCGAGAACGAAATCCAGTATAAACTTGATGACGTGTAGCACCTGTAGCTAATGATCCAACAATAAGTAATATAAATGAAAAACTTCCCATTATTGCAAGAATAAAAATAACTGTCAAACGTAATATACGAATCCTTTAGAAAAACATTTTAAAAAAAATCGTTCTAAATTTTAATTAAATTTTTTGAATTCATACCATTCAAAATCAACATATTCAGTTTCAAAAGCATTATTTATTTGTTCAATAGATGTTCGAATTGGATAATACAGACAACCACAAAAAATACTTGTACCAACTATTGTTATAATAAATGCAAGTAATGATGCAAATGGACAATTTCCACAACAACGAAGAAAATCTATATGA